AAAAAGGCAAAGTTTCCGCCCCCCTGCAAAAAAAACAAACAAAACAAACTAAAGAGGATAGAGAGAAACACTGTTAACTGATGATGTATGGAGGGGATTATAATCAATGTAATGAAACAAGTCATATGAATGGTTGAATGTGAAACTGATGATGTGCCCTGTAAATTTTCACTCAATCCATAATAAAAACCAAAAAAAAAAAACATGGAGAAAGGAAGGAAATGGTACAGCATTTGTAAAGTGCTGAAAGCAAAGAAATAAATGCTGAGAATTCTATATCCCATACAAATAAACTTCAGGAATTAAGGCAATTTAAAGACATTCTCAAATGAAGTAAAACTATGAGCACTCCTCTCCAGAAGCTCTGCTCTGAAAGAACTTTTAAAGTAAATTCTTCAGACAAAAAGCCAATGATACCAGAGAAACTTGAATCTTAAAGAATGAAGGAAGAGCAACAAACTAACAAAAATCATGTAAAGAAAAAAAAAAAAAAAGGAATAAACATGAAGCTTGAGATCATGGAGTTAACCATTCATAGAGCATGGAATAACCCCACAAACCACGCAGGTCCACATACGTAAAAATCCAATTTGTGACATTGTACAGCAATTTGTGGACAAAACCTTCTTTGTAAAAACTGCTATTTTCCTGAACTGTTTTGAGAGTATAAGTCTGCCTTATTAAACCCTGGCTGAGTTTCTAAATTGCAAAACCAGTTATTGAGGACAAAACAGGGTTTACCACCAAAGCAATTCTTTCCTGAGCTGATTCTGCATTGAACTGGAACAAGAGAATCCTAGGTTTCAACAAGGTCAACATAAAATTAACAAACTAAAAGAAATTAAATTTGCCTAGTCAAATTCTTCACATCACAGGTGTGAGAATGAAGAAACTCAGGTAAAGTATGCAAACATAAAAGAAACAGGAGCCAGATGCAGAACGGAGGTGACCTCTTCTACCAAGGGTCACCTCTTCAGGCCCCACCTTCCTCTGTCCATCATTTCATTTGATTTAGTCCCTGTCAGTACAGTCTACTTTAAAGGGGCCCCATTTTATCAACCTTTCTACTCTCAAGGGCAGATAGTAAATAAATACTCTGCTTCACAACTGTCATAGATTCTCCAAACGCCTTTTTTCTGAGACTACTGAAAAAGACTGTAAGGAGGAGGAAAAGGGAAAAG